TTTATTATATAGGATGTGTGAAACAGAATGAACGAGTACACAGATACATGCAATAATTTCAAAGAGTGAAAAAAATGAGGCAAGGTGATGTGATAAAGTGACTGAGGAGGAGAGGACTAACATTAAGTAAGATGCTCAGGGAAGGTTTCTGTGAGGAGAAAGCATTAGAATTGAAATCTGTATGATGGGAGGTACTAGCCAGGCACAAATAGAAAAAGAGCACTAGGCAGTAGGAACAGCAAATGCGAAGGCCCTGAAGCATGGCATGTGGGTTATCATAGGTTTCCTCTTAAAAAAGCATTCTTAAAAGATGACTATATTTTCCCCACAGCATCTAGCACATTATAAGAGATTTATGCCTATCTGCTTCCCATGACTAGTCCATTAACTGGCACATACTAGACACTAAAATTGATGAATGAATGGATGGATGCTCATTGAGTAACTGAATGACTTGTCTCTGGTCTGATAGCAATTTTGCAGGAGAGCCAGAATGGACAAAAGAACTCCTTCATTTCCTAAATGTTAGTCTGTGCCGATCCAGCACCCTTCCAATCTCTGTTACCCTCCATTCAGTGAAGTAAGAAAAGCACACTCATTCCTTTTTGGAGTAACATTATATATAAGAGTGAGACCTCATATATGAAATGTTTGAAACTTTTGGAAGCTACTCAATAAATTCAGGCAATTCCTAGTGCATGGCTCAGCAGGGGCGAGCCAGAGTCACTGTACATTAAATTCCACCCGAGCAGCCGTGGGAATGCAGTCTGGCCAGTCCCTGCCCTCACCACTGCAGGATTGCAGAGCTGGCACCTCTTTCAAGCTTTAGGAATGTGGATAAAGCATTCCGTGGAGTTAGCAGGATGCTGTTTTACCTTCCCTGCTGCTGAGTTTATTGTTGGAGGAATAATCCAGGGCCCCTGCCTGGCCCTTCTTTTGCATTCTCTCATGGAGTAGATGGTGCCACAATCATTCAAAGTAATCCTTGATGGAGTGGTGTTTGTAGTGTATCAAGGAGACTGCCCATTCATAGAAGCAATAATGTGGCAAGATCACTATAGAATAGAGAGTACAATCAAAAGCTTTGTTAAAATAATGAGCCTCCATAAAACCTTCGTCTCAGACAACAATAGTTGAAACTACGGGCCTACTTCAGCTTTCGGTGGAACTCTAAGAATCATAAACTACTCTAAGCATTTAAAAACATTTTTTATAAGAGTTTAGTTTATTTGAGCCAAACTGATGACATATGTCGGGGAGTAAGATCTCGAATGCTTTTACTCTAAACATTTTTGAAATTTATTATGAAAGTGTTCTATTTCTTTCGGATATCCCTATGGAGGATTAAAATAGTAGAGATAGTGGCCACTCGTTCAACTAGGAAACCGATGAAGCACCCTGATGATCTTTTCCCGGTGAAATCAAGACATAATGGCTCACCCTAGCAAAGGGTCAGGTTTTTCTAAGCAATAAAAAGTGGGTGCTTTAGGAGTGACACTTCCTAGGAAGAGTGCTCAGCCTGTTTCCAAGCCCACTCTGCTGCTGCTCCCACTGCTGATGGCATTCCAGGCTTGAGCTGGATGCACAGAGACCATCCCTACCCTAACGACCTGCCATGTGATTCAGGAGCCAAGCTAAACCCATAGCAATAGGTAACCTAAGCTGAGTATTTCTTAGCACACAACCTAGTTGTTCTCACCACTCAACTTGAAATATCAAATCTAACCGTGACCTAGTACAGTAGCCAGAATTTAATATTGTGTGCATAGTAATAGTATAGAGGTGATCAGGGTGGGAAGAAGAGACAGAGGATGAAATGGCAGGGCCCAAACCTCCTGGCTTAGCCCCATTCACCAGCTCACAGTTACTCTCTGAGAGGGCAATGCCTGGGGTACAGTTTGAGCTTAGACACTGACACATATCAACGCTGGACCTAATCATTCAACACACCCTTTGCCCTTTGAATTTGGGGCCAGTTTGGCAGCTGAACTCCCTAAGTAATCCCTGCTGCACAAGTTCAAAACACTGTCCAGCCTCTGACATCAGAAGGCCTCTGCCCTCCCAGAACCCATAGTCCAGGTGGCTTCTAGGCCAGGCAATGAATGTGCCTTGGTGTCAGCACACTCGGTGGTCTCTCTGATCCATGTAGAACCCAGTTTGGAACAAACTGGAAAGACCTACTTAGCAGCACAAGGGCACATCATGAGTTAGTTTCTACTTGTTTCCAAAAGAGTCAATGTCCCCTCTTTCTCAGGAGGTCCCAGGAAGGAATGTCTGACTCTTAGAAGTCAATTGATGTGGAAAGTCTCTTTGAATCCTTTTGAATAAAGTATCTTCCCTTAGACTTATTATCAAATAAGTCCCGTTTCCAGAACATTCTTTCCATCTGGAACTATTTTTCATAAGAACAAAATTCACAGCTATGAGGATACAAACTACAGCCAAGGGCTTGCTCTCTGGTTCTAATTTAGCTTTTGCTTTTAATTCTTTTATTATTCAGGTAATGTGACTTTGAGTCAATAATTTTGAGCCTTAGGATCTGCAAATACAAATGCAAAATAATAATCTCTAAAGTCCTAGTTATACTTACCAATTAAACTCACTTTATGCATTCACTCATACAGCAGATACTCTGAGCACCCAGTATGCATTTAGTACAATAGCACTTGTACTTACCATAGAGATGAGTAAGATAAGGCAAGAGATGGACAACTGTTATCTCCCAGAGTCTCTAGTGAGAAGGACAGACATGAACATAAATGATAAAGAGCAATGTGCTAGGGGCTAGGTTTGACAGTCTAAAGCAATGTGGTGAAAACACAGTGGGGAGAGGAACAGTAATTCTTGCAAGACTAGGAAAGGCTTCTCTGATGAGGGGACAACATTGGAAATTATTCTTGAAAGGGATCTTTGCCAGACAGAGAACAGAGAAAGCACATTCCCAGCATGTGGAACCACATGAGCAGCATATACCAAGTGGAGATAAAGGAAAGCTTGGTGAGTCTGGAGAAAAGTACATTGTCCAGGAGTGTGGCAGGGAGAGTGAGTACAGAATAATAATCTGGTGGGCTATGAAGAGGTGAAGGACAAAGGGTCTGCAATTGTTCCAGTTTTTGACACTTTGAAACAGACACACCACCCGCAAAACCCAGTGGGCCCTCCTGCTCATCCTTTTGCCTGTTCTAATGGGGGGAAAAAAGAGGAACAAATGTAATAATCTGAACAATAAAGACTTAATTAAAAAAAAAAAAAAAAAAAGATTTTAGAAAACTATTAACTCTCCCTAAACCTCGGTTTCCTTATTTGTGAACTAGATAGGGGTAGCAACGTCTTAGCCAGGAAGATAGGAACAAATAAGAGAATATGTTACACAGTCAACAAACGTTGACTGGCATACAGTGAGCAGTCAACAAATGTTGAGTTCATAATACATGATTATTAATAAGATCTTATGAATAACTGAAGAATAATATGACTGATAATAATGATTCCTTTGTCAGGGTCAGGTAGGTCAATGGAGGTCAGGTGACCCCATCACTGGGTCTCTGAAAACAGCCTTGATGGGATTTACAGCTTTGACCCCATCACTCAGCCAGACTTGTAACGTCAGAAAGATGAGGCCAGCAGGCTCATTCTGTCCTCAGATTTCTTTCCCCATGGGGATTAAGGAGGGGGAGTCCAAGCCTTGGATTATGAAGACATTCTTGCATCTCCCTGTGTAAAATGATAATGCCAACGGTTCCTGGCACCAAGCAAGGGAATGTGTCCCCTGCCCAAGGCTCCTTGTCCCCACATGATTACTTGGTGCCTGCTGCTATTAGACCTTGGGGACTGTCTTTAAAGTCCTTGCTTCTTTCTTCCTTTGTCTTTGAGTGTTTAATAGCTAAGTGTACAAATGGGTACAGGGTGTGTTTCTACCTCCTGGCAGTAATTGTTGTCTTTAAATTTTTTAATAGACTTTATTTAGAGAAGCTTTAGGTTCACAGAAAAATTAAACAGAAAGCACAGAGAGTTCTCATATACATACCACCCCCCACATACAAACACAGCCTCCCCACTATCAACATTCCCCACCAAAGTGGTGCATTTGTTACATCAATGAACCTACACTGACCCATCATCATCACTCAAATTCTATAGTTTACGTTAGTGTTCTCTCCTGGCGTTGTACCTTCTATGGGAGTTGTTGGCTTTTTACATCAGCAATTGTCCTGGGGAAGCCTATCCAAATAATGTGGGGCAAGGCTGGTGATGCTAGCCTGTTTCCAAATAATCTGTTTTAGAGAAGAGTAATTAAGATTGACTAGAACGAGAGAGAGAGAGAGAGAGAGAGAGAGAGAGAGAGAGAGAAGAAGAAGAAGAAGAAGAAGAAGAAGAAGAAGAAGAAGAAGAAGAAGAAGAAGAAAGAGAGAGAGAGAGAGAGAAGAGAGAGAGAGAGAAAGAAGGAAGGAAGGAAGGAAGGAAGGAAGGAAGGAAGGAAGGAAGGAAGGAAGGAAGGAAGGAAGGAAGGAAGGAAAGAAAGAAAGAAGGAAAAGAAAGAAAGAAAGAAAGAAAGAAAGAAAGAAAGAAAGAAAGAAAGAAAGAAAGAAAGAAAGAAAGAAAGAAAGAAAGAAAGAAAGAAAGGGCCATCAGCTCAGCCAGCAGGCAAGTCCCACCCCCAATTCCTTCACAGGTAGAGGTTAGTGATAATTCTTGCTGAAAATTGCCAGACTCTTCTCTTTCCTAAGTCTGCTGCTACCATCCTACACCTTTTTCTGGGCCTTCCTCTTCCTGGAGAGATAACTCTGACTTTGAATCTTTTTCTTTGCAGTTTTTCCCCCCACACATCCTCCAGGGCTCCATAATGGGGCCCTCAAACTATGAAAGGAAAAAGTTTTATTTTAAAATATAGGTCTCAGAAAGGGCCTGGGCAATTTTTTTAAGCACCTAAGATAGGATTTTAATTGCTCTTGCAAATTTCTTGTAAGGAAATCTAAGTCAGCCTCCTGCTTTGACAGATGAGGCCTTGTGGGAGGTTGGCTGTCCCAGGAGCCCCGGAAAACACTGAGATGTCCTTCCAAACAGGGACACAAACAGCTGAAGAGCTCCAGTTACTTAAGAGGTGAGTGACATGGACACTTTGCCAGTTGGAGAAAGGAAAGGAGTGGGGCAAGGGAGGTGGTGGAGAAAAGGACAGAGGAGGAAGGACAGTGACAAGAGGGTGGGGGAGTGAAGAAGGAGTGAAGCAGGACGCAATGGGCCACAGCTGTCAAGCAGCCTGGCGGGATGGAACGGGAGCATCCTGTCCCTGACCATGATCCCTGCTGACCTTGGGGGACAAGGGGGACACCCTTCCTTGAACCTCAGAGTACGGTTGGTAATTTACCAACCCAAATTACACTCGCCTGAAGTGGAGCCATCTGTCTGGCTCCCCCAAGATCAGTAGGGTGGTCCTCTCAGAGCAAACTACCATTGTAAAGGAAGCCAGCCATCTGCATCTGGCAAGTGGCATTTGTCCTAAAACTTTGATTCAGGATTAAATATATATGAAGTGCTCTCAAACAGTGAATGAAAATGCACAGCCATTTACATGTTTTTATTTCACCTTGCTTTTGCTCATTTGCATTCTCTGTATTTTTCTAAAATGATTATGGATTACTTTGAGAATAGTAAAAATAACTTATTTTCAATTCTAAAAATTAAAGTGGTTTGAAAACGTTCACAAAACTATTTTAAAGAGAAAGGGGTGAAGGGATACGTATCAAATTGTTAATCTTGGTTAATTTGTGGGATGGAGGTGTCATTGGAACAAGAGAGGGAGCTTATTAACTTTTTTAACTGTCTCTATATTACTTGACTGGTTAAAATGACTGTATATTACTGCTGTCATTTTAAAAGTAAATTCGAGAAAAAAAGAAATTAAGATAAAAATTTGCCATGTGTTTTTAAATAGCGAAGTTGTTTCATTAAGTGAGACACTTTTAATTCACTATTATTTAAATTGTATAAAATTTTAATTGACCGTTATTTTCTTAATTTTTTAGCAATCCTTTCTGCCAGTTTTACATGTGTCAGTCACCTGTCAAAAGTTGAGTTTTGCATTTGTTCCTCAGTATGGACCATACAGGCCCTTATATATATACTAGAGGCCTGGTGCACAAATTCATGCACCAGTGGGGTCCCTCGGCCCTGGCCTGTGAGATCGGGCTGAAACTGGCTCTCCGACATCCCCCAAGGGGTCCCAGATTGCGAGAGGGCACAGGCCAGGCCGAGGGACCCCATCAGTGAACAATCGGGGCCAGGGAGGGATGCGGGAGGTTGGCCAGCCAGGGAGGGACCGTGAGAGGGCTCCAGGGCATGTCTGGCCCATTTCACTCAGTCCCAATCAGCCGGACCCCAGCAGCAAGCTAACCCACCCGTCAGAGCGTCTGCCTCCTGGTGGTCAGTGCACGTCATAGCGAGAGATTGAGCAGCCTTAGCATATCATTAGCATATTACACTTTGATTGGTTGAGTGGCTGACCAGACACTTAGCATATTAGGCTTTTATTATATAGGATAATTTTTTTAATTTTTCAATTACAGTTAACATACAATATTATATTAGCTTCAGGTGTAGAACTCAGTAACAATAAATTATAGAAACTACCAAGTGATCATTCCAAGAAATCCAGCACCCATCTGACACCATATATAATTATTACAACACTAGAGGCTCAATGCATGAAAATCGTGCAAGGGGCTCGGCCCTCACAGCCCCAGCTGCCTCAGCCCTCACAGCCCTGGCTTCATCAGGAAGGTCATCTGGATGGTTGTTCTGCTGTTCAGTCTAATTAGCATATTAGCTCTTTATTATATAGGATTATTGACTATATTCCCTATGTTGTACCCTACATTCCTATGACTATTCTGTAACTACCAATTTGTATGTCTTAGTCCCTTCATCCCCTCAATCCTCCACCCCCTCCCATGTGGCAACCATCAAAATGTTCTTTGTATCAAATGAGTCTATTTCTGTTTTGCTGTTTATTTATTTTGTGTTTTAAATTCAATTATTGATAGATATGTATTTATTGACATTTGATTATTCATATTTTTATCTTTTTTTCTTCTTCTTCTTAAAGAAAACCCTTTAACATTTACTGTAATATTGGTTTGGTGGTGATGAATTCCTTTAACTTTTTCTTGTCTGGGAAGCTCTTTATCAGTCCTTTGATTCTAATTGATAGCTTTTCTGGATAGAGTAATTTTGGCTGTAGGTCCTTGATTTTCATTACTTTGAATATTTCATGCCAATCCTTTCTGGCCTGCAAAGTTTCTGTTGAGAAAGCAGCTGACAGTCTTATGGGAGCTCCCTTATAGGTAACTAACTGCTTTTCTTTTGTTGCTTTTAACATTCTCTCTTTTGCATTTTAATTAAGATGTGTTTTGATGTGGGCCTCTTTGGGTTCATCTTGTTTGGAACTCTCTGTGCTTCCTGAACTTGTATGTGTATTTCCTTCACTAGATTAAGAAAGTTTTCCATCATTATTGTTTTACATAGGTTCTCAATTCCTTGTCCTCTCTCTTCTCCTTCTGGCACCTCCATGATGCAAATGTTGGTACACTTGACGTTGTTCCAGAACTTTCTTATACTATCCTCATTTTTTTCTTTTTGCTGTTCTAATTGGGTGTTTTCTTTATCTTTCAAATCTATGATTTGATTTTCAGCTTCATCTACTCCACTGTTGATTATCTGTAATGTATTCTTCATTTTAGTTAATGTAGTCTTCATTTCTGACTGGTTCTTTTTTATGTTTTCTATCTCTATGTTAAATTTCTCACTAAGTTCATCTACTCTTCCCCTAAGTTGAGCATCCTTATAACCAGTATTTTGAACTCTGCATCTAGGAGATTGCTTGTCTCCATTTTATTTAGTTCTTTTTCTGGAGTTTTGTTCTCATCTTTCATTTAAGATATGTTTCTTTGTCTCCTCATTTTGGGTGTCTCCCTGTACTTGTTTCTGTGTATTCAGTAGAACTTCTGCATCTCCAAGACTTGGCAGAGTGGCCTAATGTAGTAGGTGTTCTGGAGTGTCCAGTGGCACAGCCTCACCATTCACCCAAGCTGGATACTCCAGGTGCACAACCCTCCCCCCACCCATCATGTGGGCCGTGTATAGCCTCCTGTTGTAGTTGAGACTTGATTGCTGTTGGCACATCAATGAGAGGGATTTACCCCCAAGCCATTTGGCTGGAAGGACTGGCTGCAACCACCGTGGAGGATTAGCCATGCAGGAGCCCAGTCCCTGGAGCAAGACTCACTTCAGTGAGGCTCTGGTGCCCACTGAATCTGATCCTTGAGTGTGCCACTTGTGGAGCTGGTTGGGTGGTGTTTCAGCATGGTCTGAAACTGTCTACCTGGTGCACTGGTTCTGGGGTCCCCCAGGAGGTGCAGACCAAGGTCAGCTACTACCTGTGTTCTATCTGACATGAGATACAAAGTGATCTGCAGATGGCTGCAACTTGTGCTGGGCTTGGAGGTGCCTAGGAGAGGCTAAATTGTGAACCAAGGCTAGCTGCTACTAGTGCCAGAATCATTTAGTGAGGATCATTTAGTGAGAGCTACATGGCACACCAAGGCCAGATGCTGCTTGTTTGAGAGATTTTAGGAAAGTCTGAAGCATGAGCCAAGACATGCCATTCATATTAAAAAGCTACTGGAAACAGCTTACATGGCCCCATAAGTTGTGTGGGGCAGGGTCTCAGAGAATCACCAGATTGATGGAGGCTCAGATATTGTGCCTGCCTGAAGGTGCTGTGGGGGAAGGTTCAGAAAAGGAACAATGGCCTCTGCCAGCACTTTTGTAGACTCATTGGCCTTTTCTGGGTTTTGCCAGTTACTACACAGTGTGTGGTATAGGGTAGATGCTGAAGAAATGTTGAGTGAAAGAATGATACACTGAAGTTCCTGGCATGGTTTCATCAGGATATCCAGGGTTAATCGAGTGGTCAGAAGTTAGTAACCAAACTCACAAAAGGCTGGTTTTTTTAAAGCTGAATTTTAGTTTATTCGTTTCTAAAAGGAGCTATCCTGGATCCCAGAAGTGGACCCAGTCTTTGCCCTGGTGCAGTGTCTTCTTGGTGAATGGGATCAGCAGGATCCTTGGAGAGCACAGAACAAAAGCTGAATGTTCTTATGTGCTATTTCTCTTAGGATCTGCTGCTCCAATGGCCTCGTGTCCAACTCTTTGAGTCTATCTTTACCTCAAGGGCCAGGATCAATCAACCAGTAGCAGATTGGGAGATTCTTACTCTCCAACTTTCCCCTTCAAATACTGTGCAGACCACCAGTGGGCCGCTTATGCTTGTTACCACAACACACCGTTCCCTAACTGCTGGGTTGTTTTGCGTTGAGTTAGGCTACTTGCTAATGACATACGGGGACAGGCACTTTAATTTCCTCAGTGAGGTCACTCTAAGTCGCTGTGCAAAATGGGTGACTTCTGGAGAGCTGTCCTGTCACAGCTGATCCCATCCTTCTCACAGGCTGGACTGACAGACATGGCATCTGCTGACCCTGTGCTTTGGGAGCCACCGTATTTTGAGGGCTTTTTGTCCACCATCTACAGTTACCAGGACTAAAAATACCTTGGAGTGTAAAGAATCTTCCAGGGGGCTTTGCAACTGGGACTGTATTTCTCACATTTTGGTATCATATATCAAGGTAATAGCCTTGTTACTGTGTTAAGCTGCATATTATCTGCTTGGCCAATGTTTCATGTTACCATTGATTAGAAGCCAATTTTTGTGCCAAAACTCATGATTACATCACCTTTTCCCTGCCAATGTACCCAATAACCACGTTGCCTGGGATTTTCCTGATAACACTCAGCCTCAATATACAGAACTAGCCACCTCTCTGTGCAGATGCCGGTATTTCATTTTACTCCTGCAAATGGAGCTTCCATCCCTGTGTCTCAGCCACAGTCCTATGTGCTACCTCCATCTCCCACCCCTGGTAATATAATTAATGAGCCCACACAGAAGCCCAAGGCCAGAGAACAGAGATGGATCTGTGTTGCACAGATGCTGGTGTTTTTCTTTAAAAAGAATGGAATGTGCTGCTGCAGGTTCAAACGGAG